CTTCCAACTGATGCCAGACACTCCCACTTCTCCCGTTTGAGTCCGAGTCCCCAGCGATTCGCCCAGGTCTGGAGCTCAGAGTCTGAGACTCCCCCCTGACCGAAAACGACAACCGCGCTCTCAGCCACCAGCCCGCTTTGCGCGCGCACCTCCGCACCTGAGTATTTTCCACACTGCGCCTCCTCTGAGCCTCGGTGTGCTGTTATTTTTCCTTCTAGTTGAAGAGTCTCTCCTCAGCCAGCCTTCCTGCGGTTCTGGGTGATGTCCGTTCCGTCTTTTAGTTGTATTTTTGAAGTGGTTGTTTGCGGCAGCAGTCTGCGGTGTTTACCTATGCCGCCATCTTGGTCTCTCCTCTAGATTATTTCTTAAAGGTAGGTTTACAGATTAGTTTTATTGTCCTCTTTCTGCATTTCCTAATTTTTCTATATGACATTAACTATACAAGTAATATATATTTTTGAAATACAAATTCAAATAATATAATAAGCAGATGGAATGAAAATTTCTATTTCTGTAATCCCTCTAGCCCCCACATCCACTCCTAGTTAATTCACATGTAGTAGTTGGGGATTAGATGAAATACAGAAGGAAGCACTAAACCCATGCTAATATCACGTGGCTATTTAAATTAGTTAAAATAGGATTTAAAAAACTGAGTTCCTTACACCAGCTAAATTTTCATGTGCTCAGTAGCCACTTGTGGCTAGTGGCTACTTTGGACAGTGCAGATATAGATCATTTCCAATAACATTGGCCAGTCCAGATAAAACTTTAAAATACTATACAATTAGTGACATAATTGCTATACTATTGAACCAAGATTTTAAAATTCTCTGTGTCTAGCAGTTTTTGTTTTAGCTGATAAAATATTGCCACGTTCTCTCTCAGCTTTTTGTTTTAACTAAATACAGATGGTCAGAGTCCAATGTTTTTCTGGGATATTTGGGGATTATAATTAGCTGCTTTTTAAGCATAGAGATGTCAGCTTTTCTAAGAACATGAGTGCTTTCTACCCCCTTTGAGTTCTAGACCTGTATATCTTGCTTTCTAGTTGACACCTTCTTGGATATATTAAAGGTATCTCAAATACAGTAGGTCTAAAACTAAACTGATTTCCCTCTTACTCCCACATCCAAAAAACCCCCCTAAATGTTGGTCCTCTTTCTTTGTTCTTTATTTTAGTGAATAGACTCCATTATCTTTGCAATTGTAAAATCCAGAAAACTCGGAGTGATCCTTAACAACTCTCTCTCTCCCTGATATATCTAGTCAGGTTTTATTAATCTTACTTTTTATATCTCTTGAATCTGTCTACTTCTTTCCATTTCTACTGCTATCACTTCAGTTTGTTACTATTATCTTGCCTGAAAGCCTCCATTCTTGTCTACCCACTTAGGCTTTGGTCCCTTTCTAATCCATTCTCCATCCTGAAAGCACAGTGACTTATTTTGAAGCACACATTTGATTGTCACTCTCCACTCCTGTTTTTATGGCTTCCCATTGCTTCTAGGGTAAAAATGAAACTCCTTAACAATGCTTAGTCCTCTAGCCTCATCTTTTACCATGTTCTGCTTAACTCTCTACTTCAACTAAGCTGTCTTTGTTTTAGTCCTTGTACTTGTCTTGCTTCTTACATTACAAGGCCTTTCCTTGCACATGCTTTTCTCCCTGTCTGGACCACTCTCTCTTTACTTTACCTTCACTTGTTTACCTTCATGCCTCAACTGATGGTTTGCTTCCTTAGGGAATGCTCCAACCTTCCAGATTAGATATTACCATCATACATTAACCACAGTTGCAATTTACATTTATTTGTGTGATTATATGATTGTCTTTCTCTTCCACTGCCTCCAAATTCCATGGAGACAGGTACCACATCTTTTTTCCCCCTTTTTAAAGATTTTTTAAATTGATTTCTAGAGAGGATGGGAGAGGGAGAGAGAGAGAAACATCAATATGAGAACAAAGCATAGATTGGCTGCCTCCTGCATGCCTCCTCCCCACCAGGGATTGATCCCACAACCTGGGCATGTGCCCTGCCCAGAAATTGAACTGGCAACCTTTTGGTGCACTGGACAGCACCCAACCAACTGAACCATACCCACCTGGGCGGGACCACATCTTATTTTCCTTTTAGGCTTATAATTGAATCCCTAAGACCTAGCTCAGTGCTGATGACTAAATATTGATTGAATTGCCAAGTTGATGTTACTAAAGATTTCAGTTCATGGATTTTTATAATTAATAATAGGATTTTGAATATTAATATTTATTAATGTAGTAGTTAATATAGTTGTAGTTAAACTGCCAGTTATACTGTTTTTTCAAGTGTATGAAAGCAAATTAGTATTTTAATATAAACTTATTAATTATTGAAAATAATTATAAAATATAGCATAGTATTCTTAGATTATTTTATAATAAAATCATATTTTAGAATAGTTTTAGATTTACAAAATTATTACAGAGATAGTATAGAGATTCCTATATACCCCATGCCCAGTTCACCCTGTTATTAACATATTATGTTGGTATAGTACACTTGTCACAATTCATGAACCAATATTTAAACATTATTATTAACTAACGTGTTCAGATTGCCTCAGTTTTCTCCTAATGTTCCTATTCCAAGATCCCATCCAGGATACTATATTACATTTAGTTGTCATGTGTCCTCTTGGTTTTGAGATGCCTTCTTTCTCAGATGCCTTCTTTTTGATGACAAGTTGATAGTTTTAAGGATTATTGGACAGGTATGATGTACCAGCCGTGGGCAAACTACGGCCCACGGGCCGGATCCGGCCCGTTTGAAATGAATAAAACTAAAAAATAAAAAAGACCGTACCCTTTTATGTAATGATGTTTACTTTGAATTTATATTAGTTCACACAAACACTCCATCCATGCTTTTGTTCCGGCCCTCCGGTCCAGTTTAAGAACCCATTGTGGCCCTCGAGTCAAAAAGTTTGCCCACCCCTGATGTAGACTGTCCCTCATATGGGATTTGCCTGATGCTTTTCTCATGATTAGACTGGGCAATGTGTTTTTGGGAGGAAGACAACAGAGGTCAAGTGCCATTCTCATATCAAGAGTAAATACTGTTAATATGCCTTAGCACTGTTGCTGTTAACCTTGATCAACTGGTTTGAGATATTGTTTATCAGGTTTGTCCATTGTAAAGTTACTTTTTCCTCCTCCTCTTTTTTTTATAAGAAAGTCACTATGGGAAATGCACATTTAGGAGTGGGGAGTTATGTTCCATCTCCTTAACAGTGGAGTAGTACATAAACCTTTATGAATTCTTCTGCAGGGGAGATTTGCCTCTTTCCCCTCACTTGTTAAATTACTAGAGGCCTGGTGCATGTATTTGTGCACTGGTGGGGGGACGTGGCATGCAGGGATTGGCCCTCTGTGGGAGTGCCACTCATCCCGGTCAGCAGCTCATCCTGGTCAGCCAAGCAGCGCTCCCACCGTGGGAGTGCACTGACCACCAGGGGGAAGCTCCTGCGTTGAGCATCTGCCCCCTGGTGATCAGTGCGCATCATAGCGACTGGTTGACCGGATGTTCTGGTCGTTCCGCCGTTTGGTCGCTGGGCTTTTATATATATATATATATAGATTGGATATTTAAGTTATACTTTGAGTTATAATCCAATAGTACTTTACTTATTTTCATGCTTAAACTGTTCCAGTTTTGGCCATTGTGAGCTCTTTCAGTTGGTTCCAATATTCCTTTGACATATCTCCATCATTGTGAGTTTTTTGTTGTTTGATGTGTGTGTTTTTAAGAACCTTTTTACTTTCTGGCACTACAAGATGCTCCAGGCTTATCTTGTATATTTCCTACTTCAGTCCTAGAATCAGCCATTTCTCCAAGGAGCATTGCTGGTTCCCTTTATTGAAGAATGTTATTAGAAACCAAGATCTGGGCACTGTATGTGCTTATTATTATTGGGGTTACTTCTAGGAAATATAAACTAATGCATGTATATACATATCTATGAATATTTCTGTATGTATCTATATTAAGCTATATTCTTAGATTATTTACTCTGAGCTTTTTTCCATTGGAAAAAAAATTACCTATGAATATTGCGGGGTTTTTTTTTTTTAGAAGGTTTTGGAATTTAGTAACAGAATTGAAGCAGCTCTCCAATTCTCTTGGTTCTTGGTTGACTTCACTTCTAATGTTTTGCAATTTAGCTAGCCATCTATGAAGAATGAGGCCACAGCACACTGAATAATTTAGAGTTCATTTGCAGTTAGTTTTCTTTCAAGGAGTAATTTAGTTTTGAGAGGCTTATCATTTTACTTCTCATTAGTTTCTCTGTAACACAGTCTGAGTGGGAAAATAAAAAAGACTTCTCCAAACAGTTAATTTAGTTACTTGGTTAAAAGTTGGTAATGATGGTGTGGATGGGAATAGTTGAATATCTGTTAGGTTGATTTTTAAATTGTTCCCCATTACTACATGTAATTGAGAATTATCTCAATTTTTTCTCCTACAGTGAGAAATCTAGTTCTCTGTATCTACATTCTATTTACTTGTTTGTTCAGTTCTATTATCACCTAACATAATTTCACAATCATTAATCCATACCCCTGTGCAAAACTTTTAGTAATTAGATTAACAGTATATATGTACAGTTATAAATACAGAATATATTAATAGATCTTTTAAATTCTGTTTCATGTCTAAAATGATTTTATCAAAGTATTTTAAATCATTGAGGTATAAAAAAAAAACAAAAAGAAAAAAAACAAAAATCATTGAGGTATATATTCTTATATTCTGCATACTTTTTCTAAATTTTTGGTTGTGTTTGTTCACTTGTTATAATCAATAGATGCTCATATGATTGTAGATAGTTTTGCAAAACAAATTACTAGTATGACTGAAGTAAATTAGTTATGTTGTGAAATATTTGTAAGGATATTGGGGAAGTGATACAGCTTTTAACTAAATTATTTAATGTGTGCTTAACACATTTTACTTTTAGGCATGTCTGACAGCAGCAATGATACTACTACTCTTGGTACAATTAAACCAGCCCCCGAAGAAGTCAAGCCTGACTCTGAGGTGATTGGGTGGCATTTACACTGTTATTTAAAGTCAGCCTATCTCAATAAAAGTTTTAGACTCTCCAAGCTGACTTAGTTGGTCTAAACATGTGCCATTGTAAATAAATGTTTTACACATAGACACAGGAAAGGAGTGGGAGGGGAGGGAGAGATTTCCTCATAAGGGGAAGTAAGTTACCATTTGCTTTTCACATAAAAATTAACATAAAAGTTCAGGTCAAACTATAATTTCTAAATATGAAATGAGGTTTCTGTTGAAATAATAGTAGTTATAGGTTTCACATTTGAGTTCATCTACTCTCATATGCTCTCTTTAGTTAGGTATGCATTAGAATTCAAGTGTAGAGGTTTGTATGTTTTTTAAATACTGAGTTCTGGATTTCAGACTCACTGAATCAGAATCTACAGTGACAAACATGGGGCCATGTGTATTTTTTTTTCTTTTGGAAGTTTTAAAGATGCTTCTAATATATACCACCTAAGAACCACAGTTCTAGTTCATCAGAATAATAAGGATATTAAGAAGTTAATCTTATATTTAAATCAAGTCACTAGGTATTTTTTTATACCTAATACTAATAATACCTCTCATATTAAATTTTATAGAGTAGCACTTTCATATTGTCCCACTTTGGCCCTTACGACAGTTTGGTGTAATTCACTTAGATAAGTAGAACAATTATTATTTCCCCATTTATTTGTTGAACATCTTTAATTTTTAGAGAGGTAGTGACTAACTTTTAGAAATTTGCACGGTTGGAACACAACATGTGGTCTTCTGACTCTAGTTGCAGTGTTTCTGAACCAATTTGCCATCTTTATATGTGGCACAATGCTGGGCACAGTATTTCTTCAATCAAAACAAGACACTGTGCATCTGTGTGACAAGCTTTAATATAGGATTTAGAACTAGATAATTTATTTTTAGTCCAAAAGTCAAATTTGAGTTCTGGTTGGCAAATTATATATTATCTTTGGAGGATTCAGGATTCTTTGTAATTCAAAATAGCTTGGCTTTTACCTATGTCCAAGCAGTGTTGTAGTTATATTTAGTTCTGAGAAACTAGGGAATTATGTATACTATATTTATCTTAACTCGTGGATTTGATTTTTTTAATCAGATCTCTGCATCTGTACTATTGAGTGATGATCAAAGGAAGTTTGATGAACTACAGAAAGATTAGCTGCCCAGCCAATGATGGGACTCGTAATGATAAAAGAAAGCATTCTGCAGCGGGGGAGGGGTGTTTACAGTTGTGAGGACACAAAACACAGTTTATTCTTGTATTATTATTTATTAATTATTGTATTATTTTCCATATGAACAACTATAACCTATTTTTGCCTCATCCTGTATTTTGGTTTACCACTGTGAGTTTTGTCTTTGTGAATGTCACTCGGATATATGCTAAACTAGAAGTTTCCTGCTCAATAGAGAGTTAAACTTGGATGATGATGATCTGAAGGAAACTATTGCCAAGTAATTGATTGTTGAAATTTATTTATAAATTAACAATAAAATCCATGTTAGGCATTCCCCGTGTGTTTAGCCATACCCAAATATGCAGCATCCACTGGGAATATTTTAAAAAGACCAGGCGTGTGAGTGTAATATGAATTTATGCCCCAATTTAAAAGCATTATATGAGTTTACTGTTAACTGAAGTAGGATTTAGGAATATTTTGTGACTTTAAAATTTCCCACTATTAGTATTCTATTAACTTAAATCTGCTTTTTTTCAAAATCCATAATGAAAACATTTTAGGGGTCATATTTGCTTATAAGAATTCTTATTTTAATATATTATAGCTTTGTATATGTTTTGTCAATTCTCTTAATTTTAAATGTTCTATACATCAGAATTTTTAGTAATTCAGATTAATTCTAGCAGAGCTTTGCACATCACTGGTGGTCAATTTGATGAATGAATGAATTCTCACTCCACTCGTGTAAGTGATCTAGATGTTTTTTAGGAATAGACTATGATGACCTGGGTGATAGTTTTCATTTCCTTAAAAGTAAAACAAAACAACAACAATTAAAAACTCCAGCATTTTGAACTGAGTGAAAACATGATCAATTCTGAATAAAAAGAGACTTAAAGTGAATTGCCTTGCTCATGGTCACTTAGCTCATTAATTGCAGAACCCAGGGTAATTTCCTAACTCTTAATCAAATGCTGTTTCTGTTAAAGTATCTATCTCATCAGTTACCATAAAAATGCTTTCTTCTTCTACATGTTGTGTTTCTGTTTGTTGTTTGTTTTGTTTTTTATGAAATCAGTGTGTGGTTTTTTTTCTTTTTTAATTAAAAAAGAGAGAAAAATACGAGCTTGGCTTGCTTTGTATTCCAGTCCAATCTTGATTAGAGCAGATAAAGGTAGATTTTGTTCTTTGTATTTTCAATATTCAAACTTTATACCTTGAAATGTGTTTAAACTGCTGCTTCTGTAGCCTAATAGGCACCATTCACTGAGAACCTTTTAGGTGCCAGCCTGGGTTTTACAAATATCTTATTTAATGCTACAGTAACCCTGTTTGCAGTTGAGGTTTTCTACTTCATTTTATAGATTAGGCAATAGAGACCTGGAAGTGTTAACATAGCTAATGTGGAAAAGAGCTGTGACTTGAACCCAAGAAAGTAGAAAAGATAAGTGGATATAAGAAACTAATTAGGACAAAATTATTTGAAGGTAGAAGTAAGGAAGTTTGGAAAACAAGCACATAAGTTGTATTTTTAGCAAAAAGGGAGGCAAGCAAATTAATTATGTCAGGAACTTATTAGCATATCCTAAGATTATTGACTGAATTGTTCTTGTCTGTCTGCCCTGCAATATAGTTACATTAATACATATACCAATTTCTAATATTTAAGAAAATATACAAATATTGCATCATTCTTTTACATAATTCAGTTCTAAAAAGTAAATTGGGTACAGATCCTGCACTCAAGCTGTGTGTTGATTAATATAGGAAATTTTTAAATAAATAAAATGTAGAATAATCATACAGATGAAGAATTGTAGCAGTTCAGAGGAGTATCAGCCAGGAATATCACTGAGGGTGGCATTTAAACTGAGTCTTACTGTGTGGGTAGAATTTGAGCATGTGAGCAATGATGGTCACTGCTTGTACAAAGACATAGAGAAAGGAAGTTGAGACATGTATAAGAAAGTGTAAGCCCTGCTGGTGTGGCTCAGTGGTTGAGCGTCAACCCATGATGGTTTGATTCCTGGTCAGGGCAATGCCCAGGTTGTGGGCTTGATCCCCAGTAGGGGGCATGCAGGAGGCAGCAGATCATGATTCTCATCATTGATGTTTCTATCCCCCCCCCCCATTCCTCTCTCTGAAATCAATAAAAACATATTAAAATTTACTTCGTTGAATTAAAAGAAAGTGTGAGTAGTTAAGTTTGATTTAATAGGCTATCTGAAGAAGTATAATTTATAGATAGTTCAGGTCATGAAAGGATTTTGAGTGTCAGGAGGAGTTGGCTTTTATGTTGTAAACATTGGGGAGGGACATAGACAAGTTTAAACATATACATAAATACATAAATTATTTTATAACTAGAGGCCCAATGCATGAAATTCGTGCAAGAGTACCGGCTTCCCTCTGGCACCCAGGACCCAGGCTTCCCTTGCAGCCCCCGCTCCGTCCGGAAGGTCATCCAGAAGGATGTCCGGTCTAGTTAGCATATTACGTTTTTATTATTATAGATGTAAAGTAGTCCTTACTACTATAAAGCAAGATAAGGACTAAAGAGTATTGAAGGCTGCTGATTTACATCGGTTGGGTTTCCCTTCTTAGATGACATTTGAGAAGAAACCTGAATGACAGGGAGCATGATGTGAAAATCTGGGTGGGAGTAAAAACCTTCAAAAAAGAGGAAACAGCAAGGGCAAAAATAAGATTGGTGTATTTGAGGAACAGTAGTGAAGGGTTCTAGGGCTGGAACTAAATGTCAGTGAGGACAGAGTAGGAGGAAATGTGGGTCAAGTGGTAGCTAGGATCTAAGATGGGCTTAACATGGAAATGAGAATGATAGGTAGAAGATGACAGCGTTGGGAGACGATTTGAAATGCAGTATTCAGGTAGCTTGTAGTTGAAAATATAAGACAAATTAGGTGATGACGCTCTATATTACAAAGCCACGGTTCTCAAAACTGCCTGGTACTGGCACAAGAACAGACATATAGACCAATGGAAATAGAACAGAGGGCCCAGAAATAAACCCAAGCCATTATGCTCAATTAATATTTGACAAAGGAGGCAAGAGCATAGAATGGAGTCAAGACAATCTCTTCAATAAATTGTGTTGGGAAAATTGGTCAGACACATGCAAAAAACTGAAACTAGATCACCATCTTACACCATATACAAAAACAAACTCAAAATGGTTAAAGGATTTAAGTGTAAGAAGGGAAACCATAAAAATCTTAGAAGACTCCATAGGCAGCAAAATATCAGACATATGTTGTAGCAATATCTTTACTGATACAGCTCCTAGGGCAATGGAAACTAAGGAGAAAATAAACAAATGGGATTACATCAAAATAAAAAGCTTCTGCACAGCAAAAGAAACCATCAACAAAACAACAAGAAAGCTCACTGCATGGGAGGACATATTTGCCAAATGCTATTTAGATAAGGATTTAATCCAAAATTTATAGGGAACTCATACAACTTAACAAAAGGAAGATAAACAATCCAAACAAAAAATGGGCAAAGGCCTAAGTAGACACTTTTTGAAAGAGGATATACAGATGGCCTAGAGCAGTGGTTCTCAACCTTCTGGCCCTTTAAATACAGTTCCTCATGTTGTGACCCAACCATAAAATTATTTTCATTGCTACTTCATAACTGTAATGTTGCTACTGTTATGAATCGTAATGTAAATATCTGATATGCAGGATGGTCTTAGGCGACCCCTGTGAAAGGGTCATTCGACCGCCAAAGGGGTCGCGACCTACAGGTTGAGAACTGCTGGCCTAGAGA